ACCTTGCTGGCCCCTGTTTTCAGTGTCAGTGAAGCCAGTGCATGGGCAATGATGCATGCTAGTGAGGGGTGGAGTTGGTGGGACTTCCTGGGCCACTTTGGGGACTTTCACAAAAGACCCCAGTGACTCAGGGTTTTGAGTTTTTTGTTTTTTGTTTTTTTGAGACGGAGTCTCGCTCTGTCGCCCAGGCTGGAGTGCAGTGGCGCAATCTCAGCTCACTGCAAGCTCCGCCTCTTGGGTTCACGCCATTCTCCTACCTTAGCCTCCTGAGTAGCTGGGACTACAGGCGCCCGCCGCTACGCCTGGCTAATTTCTCGATCTCCAGACCTTGTGATCCGCCCACCTCAGACTCCCAGAGTGCTGGGATTACAGGCGTGAGCCACCGCGGCCGGCCCTGAGTTCTTAACCAATGGAGTGAAGGATTCAAAATTAACCACTCCAAGGGGGGACTGAAAGAAGAACCACTCTTGATGGACAGAAAGGGGAGGGAGTAACAGTGCCAATGAGCCCTAGCCACCCAAGCCAGCAATGGCAACCCTTCTGGGTCCCCTTCCAGCACGTGGAAGCTTTCGTTTTGTTCAATAAACTGAGCTGCTGCTCACACTCCTGGTCCGTGGACTCTTTTTGAACTGTTAACACTCACTACGAAGGTCCTCTGCTTCATCCTTCGAAGTTAGCGAGACCAGGAATCCATTGGCAGGAAAAACTGACTCATCGTGGGGGCTCACCTGGGATTTCCAAAGCAGTAACATTGGAACTCTTCCGCTTGCTACTCTGCTCTATTTTACTTCAGAATTGAGGACAAACACCAGGCACCTGTCGGCCATTTAAAAACAAGCAGCACAGCCGCCGGACTAACGACACAGGTGTAAGGGTTTCTGAGAAAGGGCTGACAACTCCCGTTTTGCCTAGAAACCAGTTTTCACTTTCCCTGCGTTTTCTGGGTTGAACCAAGGGCTGGCCAAGGGTGGAAAACAGTATCCCTGAGCTCCCAGTACCGCCCGGTTGAAATGATGGTGCTGTGTGAAACCTTTGTTAAACAGCCGCCCACACATGCTTCACCTACCCTTCTAGAGGCATGCCTCCTGGATCCAAACGTCTGTAGGGAAGACTCTTGAGACCCTGTCTCCAGGATTCTCTCTATCCCCGCGATGAAAACCCTCTAGATTAGGAATCTAAAACAATTAGGATGGCAACCCTCAGATCCATGTTCCTGATATCCCATGGCTTATTGATTTATTTTGAGATGGAGTCTCGTTCTGACGCCCAGGCTGGAGTGCAGTGGTGCGATCTCGGCTCGCTGCAACCTCCACCTCCAGGATTCAAGCAATTCTCTTGCCTCAGCCTCCTAAGTAGCTGGGATTACAGGCACGTGCCACCACGCCCGGCTAATTTTTGTATTTTTTGTAGAGACGGGGTTTCACATGTTGGTCAGACTGGTCTCTGTCTCCTGACCTCATGATCCACCCACCTCGATCTCTCAAAGTGCTGTGATTACAAGCATGAGCCACCGCGCCCGGCCCCCATGGCTTATTCTAATGTAGATGGGCAACAATACAAATATACAGGACCTGTTCCCCATATTCGATACCCAAGGCAACACCCAGGACAATATAGTGTGTGCCAATAGCTACTGGAAGGCTTAGGCCATTTTCTGTCGTCCCCACCTCACTGGGAACCATATCACCTATCATCTCTCTTGTTTGGGATCAGCAATTCAAACTGTGGAGCTCTTCCATTTGGGGTACCACTCGCATTTGTGGGAGTTAAGTAATATAATAGGCCATCGACAGGGAGATCAAAAGTCGTATTCTTATGATGGAAGGTTGGGACAAAAGGCCTTAGTACATGAGATGCCATTTCAGCCTTGGCCCAATGCCCCATTGCCCTCCCCACCTTAAAATTGCTATGTCTATGTACAATCTTTAAGGAGTTCATCTTACTGGGAAGATGAGGGAAGTATAAACTATAATACCATCCTGCAACTACATCTGTTTTGTAAACGAGAAGGCAAGTGGAACAAGGTACCATATGTTCAGACCTTCTCATTAAGGGATAACCCACGATTGTGTAAGACATGTAACCTGCACCCCACAGGGAGTCCTGGGGCAGTTTCAAGCTCAGAAATATGCTAATTGGAGCCTTGTTAACCACCTAATACACCCCGAACTTAGAACCCACAAACTGGAACAAAAACTGTTTCCGTCGTACTGGTAAGAGGCCACTAAACCCAGCAGCCTGGCCTCGTTTGTGGCTAAGAAGGGAGGGAAAAGAGTGTGGTTGAAACTGCTACATCGGTAAGCGCAATTAAATCCGATAAGCAGGGTTCCATGGGTGGTTGTGCACCCTGGAAAAAGGACACTAAAACAATAGGGGACACCCTAGAACCAGTGTCCACTGGGAATGACTACGGGTGCGGGCA